TTCTCGAGAATTGGAAAGGTACACGGGCTGAGGCTGATGACGTGCCACGAGCACACGAGAACGCTCAAGAACGCATATTGAGAAACGGCCGTTGTCTTGCAAGTCGTAAAATGTTGCACTGTCGCAAACGTGACAGAAGTAATAATAAGAGCGCCACTGCCGCCTACTGTAGTGGATGCGCAATTACACTTTATTACGGTTAACCCTAACCGTGGGGCACTGCTGTAAGGGAATTTGAAACGTCTTCAAACTTGGAAACAAAGTCCAGTGGATTGTTTTTTATTTTATTGTTATTATTAGTGCCATCTGGTCCTTCCGTCTTCTCTGTCTTCTTCCCTCTCCATCTTCTTTTCTTTCTAGCTGACTTCTGCCTGTTCTCTCTTTAACGCTTCTAAGTTGATTTTTTTCCTTCTCTTTAACTGATCTTTCCATCAGTTTTCCTATTTTCCTTTGCTCTCTTCTAACCTTCTTCCTCTCATCTTGCATCTATCTAACACTAATCTAAACAGAGACATAATACAATCAGAATGCCTTCCAAATACATTTAATCTCATCCTATATTCTAATTATTATGATGATGATTTATTATTATTGTTGTTATCTCCCCAGATTAAATACTAGAATTCTAATCACCACAATATTTGGAAGATTTGTAGTAAAAACAACCTAAAAATGGAAGATGGCGGTTGTCTCTTCCTGCATCATTCTGATATCATGCAGATCTTTTCTCATTCAGTTTTCCTTTTACTGCCTCTTATTTATTCAAATGAGGAACTTTTATAGATCCAAACTGATTGGTAGAAAATTAGACCTAAGGCTTGAACACTGCAAAAACCATCTAGAAATAAGTACCAAATTTCTTAAAATAAGTGCATTTACCCTTAATTTTAGTAGGTAAATAATAAGATTTGCCAATGGAATGAGCATTTCTACTCCTAAAATAAGACAATTAGATAATATTCACTTGAAATAAGACAAAGCAATTGTTTTTTTCTTATTTTAAATGTAAATTGTCTTGTTCCTTTGGCGATGTGTCTCACTTATCTCCTCAATTCAAGACAAAATTCACTCAATTTAAGCAAAAATAAATCATACAGATTTCCATTTTTTGCAGTGAAGTCTATGCTCATAAATTACAACCATAAAACAGCAAAACAACTGATTACTCTACTTACAATAACTACCTGGAGATATAAACTGAAGGTTTCTAAAAACATCTTTAGATGAACCCTCGTTGATCCCTGGAGAACCACTGAACCACATTAGCTCCTTATAAGGAGTTTTCAATCATTCGGTTTCATTTTATCTGATTTCCTTCTGCCAGCTGCAGCCAATGGTCTGTCTGACTGTTTGTTGATTAGTTTGGTTTATTTTACATTTCCGCTCCTCATCTTTTGTAAAACCAAACACATCTAAGCCTTTTTTTCTTTTATTGACCTTTATTAACGATCAGCCCAATTAAAATCAAATGAAACGATTTTCCTGATTCTCAGTCATCCAGGTTATAATCATTCCAGAAAAATTATAAAATCAATCCTCTGGACTTTGTTTCCAAGTTTGAAGACGTTTCTCTTCCATCCAGGAAGATTTTTCATTTCAAAATGTCAGAAATAGCGTTTAGTTCCAGGTTTTATCCAGCAGCCCAACAAAGCCTGGTTTTAGTTTAGAAAACATGCAAATAGAAACGGATGAACGGGTCCCCCCCTTTGGAATGGGGGTAATTTGGCTTCTTTGTTACCCTGCAATGCCCCATACCTGTCTATGTCTCTGAAAGGGGGGTCTACGAATATATTGCACAATGTTAGGCGCAAGGCATTATGGGGATTTGTGGAAAAACAAACTGCTCCTGCTGGTAAGATGGTTTTGAATCCGGATTTGATTAATATTTAGAACCTAAAAAGGCTGATTGACGGATCCCGTTGTGTAGTTTTCATCTCTGGGGGGACTCCATGTTTGTGGAGGTGCCGGGGGCCGCCACAGGGAAGGGGCCCCTGCTGTCCCAAAGCAGCTTGAGGCGGTGCATTCCTCTTGAGGGTGATAATACGAAGGAGGGAGGAGCTGCAGGATGGAGGAGTGACAGATTTACACCACAGAAATAAAATCACGTCAACAAATCATAACCGGTTGCAACAGCTTCTTCATTAAACGCCTGGTTTGGATCAAAGATGACGGCAATAAAAATAACAGGGACCAGTTTTAGATCTCAGCTCAGATAATTAAATGTAGAAGAATGAAGGAGCGGAGATCAGAGAGTTTTAAAGATGACTGCTGGTCGTGAGCACAGAGGATCAGTGGAGATCAAAGCCTTCGTCCCTCTGCTTCCTCACAAACATCCCGGCTCGGATCAGGGTTAGGTCTGCTAAGATGCGACCTTCAGGAGAAGCTGATCTGGTTTGTTTGGCGTCTCTCTGCTGAAACCCCTTAAAAGTTCACATTCATTTGATTCTCCTCCACTCAGGCTTGTGGAAAACATCTGAGCGTTGTATCAGCAGTTTGCTGCTGTTAGCATCCTTTCCTCACTAACATTGTGCAGCAAGGCAACCTTTCAGATTTGATTTTTCTTGAACAGACTGTTACAGAAACCTGGTGGAAAATGGTTCAGCTTCAGGTTGGCGGGATTGATTATGATCCCACAGAGGAACTGATCACAGCCGCCGCAAATAATTCAGAAAAGATGCTGCTGAGATGCTGAGAAGCTCAACCTCCACTGTGCGCTTCTCTGTTCCCTCAGCTCCACGGCTACATGGAGAACGAACCTCTGACCCTGCAGCTGTTCATCGGCACCGCTGACGACAGGCTGCTCAGGCCCCACGCCTTCTACCAGGTCCACCGCATCACGGGCAAGACGGTGTCCACGCCGAGCCACGAGATCCTGCACAACAACACCAAGGTGCTGGAGATCCCGCTGCTGCCGGAGAACAACATGCGGGCCATGTGAGTAGAACCGCGGCGACGGCAAGATGGCCGTCTCTAGGTCCTCCATCATGGAGGCTTTAGCATGTAGAGCAGGACCTGACTGAAGCTAAAGCAAGATGGAAGGAGGGGAAGACGGGATGGTTAGGGCAACGCGTTCTTTTACGGTACATCAATAATAACATGGTAATAACTTAGCAAGTCAAACTATATTACTAGGAAAGAAGAAACACGTTATGGAGAAGTTTTGTGCTTCACATTTTAGGCAAACTAGGTTAAGTCAGACTTTTTAGATGTCAAACTGTTAGTATCTAGTAAGATTTAGTTTATTACTTGGCATTTAACAGAAAACCAAACCTAGAAGACAGCAAGAAAACCTTCTTTACTAAACTCTTATTTATATATAACTTAGTTCAGTCGTATAATGTTTATTAAGCTGATCACAAGTTAGACTTTACTTTGTAAGCTGTTGGTAGGCGGTGGCCTAAAGGTGATTACCCAGCAAAAATCTCCATTGTTATATAGAAACATATACATGCAGGTAATTAACTACATTTACACCTTAATTTTGGGGGTTATTACAAAATAAACTTCTTTTTACCAAGTAATATATTGTGACTTGCTATCTTATTAACCTGTTTTTACATAGTTATTGCTGTACTGTAAAAGAAAACGTTACTAAAAAAACAAAGAGGTTGGAAAGAAGAGCAAGAGGATGGATGGATGGATGGATGGATGGATGGATGGATGGATGGATGGATGGATGGATGGATGATGGATGGATGGATGGATGGATGGATGATGGATGGATGATGGGTTCAAAGCAACAAAAAGAAAAGAGAGGCATTAAAAACACAAAGGCAAAAATGTATAAAGAAATCAGAGAAAACTAATCAGAACAGGAAGATAAATAGGAAAAGGATTAGATAGGTTAGTACGGAGTGAAATTTGTTCCATTATTGTTGAAACTAAAGAAAGCATTTTGTTAATAAAAAATGAGAAAAAAGTCATCCGGAAAGGAAGTATTTTAATTTCATTTTAATTATCAAAAAAGTGGATTTCAGAGTAACTTTGCTTTTTTCTGATTTGTTTTTCAAAATGTTATTTTCAAAGTTGTTTATTTGCTGATTTTAAAGCTTTATTTAAATTAAATTATTTAAAGAGGTATCTCTTTAGTCGTATACAAAAAAAGTATTTTATGACTTACTTTTTGGTGTTTTTGAAGCGATCTGAGCTGAAATTTTTTATTTATTTTTTTGACTAAAGGGATACACGCCACTTTAGGTAGTTTAAAGTATATTTTTCGTACAAAACTAAATGGATAGATGCAAATCTCACGTCTTTTGCATGGGTATTGACTATATGTATGCTGGTCTGACAGATGAGGTGGAGGTTTCTTCCTGTAAATAAACTGAATAGAAATTAAAAAGCTATTTAAAAAGAATGCAGTTTGCAAAACTTGATCCGAAAATGTGAAATTTGACAAAGAAAATAGGATTATAAGTATGAAAATCTAAATGCAGCCGTTCAGCATAAGTAAAAGCGATGAAGAGAGGCGGGCGTCTGAGTGCGGTCTGGGTCGGGTCATCAGGCCTGCATTCGTTCCTTAGAGCTTGAATTTTGTAAGCGTCGACCTTTGAACACAGACAGCAGCTCATTTATTTCCTAACGGCTCCGATAAGAGCAGCATCCCTGAGCTGATTCTGAACTGGGAGACCTTCTCCAAACTCTCTCTCTGGACTGTTTCTGCTTCCTTTGTGCAGAACTGTGTTTTTCATCATGTGACCCAGGGTAGATTCAGGACTGGGTTGGCTGGATTGGAGCAAAGATGACATTATTGTAGATAAACTAACCCTCAGATCTGCTCTGCATGTTCACATGCATCCTTCCACACCTGATTGCTTCACCAGTGCTGCAGAGAAGAATGTAGGGAGTGTTCAGATGTGTGCAAAAGTTGACATTAACTAGGCTTTGAGGAATGCAGCATGGAAAAGCCAAGAAATGCAGACAGACAAGGATGTGATGAAAACACCAGGGGAATCCTTCTAAAGCCAGCAGGGGTGTAAACATCCCAGCATCCATTATCAGCCAGTTCATCCCAGAGCAGACGCTGGGACCAGAGGGCAGACCAGTTGGTTCCGGTAGGAAAACGGGTTGACCTTGTTGTTTTCACCCTCAGAATCGACTGCGCCGGAATCCTGAAGCTTCGCAACTCCGACATCGAGCTGAGGAAGGGAGAGACGGACATCGGGCGGAAGAACACGCGCGTTCGGATGGTTTTCAGAGCTCACATCAGCCAGCCCAACGGCAGGACAGTGTCCCTGCAGGTGGCATCAAACCCCATCGAGTGCTGTGAGTCCACCCGCCTCTTTCTAAGCTTCTCTGGTTGGAGAATTGCAGAATGCATCAAGGCAGCGGTGACACTTTTCTAAAACCGTCAGGATTTTATAGTTTAATTTATGATTGATGCTTCCTTACTGGTCCAAATGATGTCATTTATCCTCCATCCCATTCCTCTGCGCCGCAGCAAACACTTCACTCTGAGTCCCTTGGAGCTCGAGGAGAGCATGCGCAGTATTATAATATCATTGTTAGTTCATAGGAGCTCAATACAAGTTAATGAATGCTAAATGAAATATGACATCATTAAAATTCAGCATCAACGTCCAGCAGAAGGGCAGTTTCTGGGAGCATACAGTTTTGGTTTGTTCCTAAAAAGTTAAAATCAATCCACTGGACTTTGTTTCCAAGTTTGAAGACGTTTCTCTTCCATCCAGGAAGATTTTTCAATCCAAAATGTCAGACATAGCGTTTAGTTCCAGGTTTTATCAGCAGCCCAACAAAGCCTGGTTTTAGTTTAATAGAAACGGATGAACGGGTCCCCCCCTTTGGAATGGGGGTCGTTTGGCTTCTTTGTTAGCCTGCAGAATGCTAGGCGCAAAGCATTATGGGGATTTGCCGTCACAGGGGCGACTAATAACAAAGATGGCGCAGGCACCGCGCGGTGGAGGAGGAGTTACGTGACCAACGGAGCAAAAAGCAGTGATCATCTGTCCGAATGGTCAGTTAACTGATTACGCCATAACTTTCACTACATAGTCCCCGCTGTATGTGGACGCAGTGAGGTTGTATGAGTTATGGGAGCAGAGCGTGCACGCTCTTGCACGCTCTTGCACGCTCTTGCCCATTCCTCCTCGTCTTTTAAAAAATTTGCGAAAATCCTCCAAAATACCTTTAATTTAAGCAGGTAAATGAGACAAAGTGTGATAATTAGATATACATTTTAAATAAGAAACATTTGTTGTTGTTTTTTTTTTTAATAAACTGGCTAAATTTAATGGAAACAACATATTAAAATACAATTTAAATATTTCATTTTTATTATTCAGCTGGATTTACACTTCATCTGATGTATTTGGGTTTAAATGAAGAAAATAACCTTTATCTTTATAAATAATCAGAAGCAGGTTTATTCGCCACGTTTGAGCTCAAAAGGACTAAATATTTAATGCTGGGATTCGATTAGAGCGAAAATAATTATTCGTATTAATTATAATTAATAAATTATTAAAATAATCAGCTAATTTATAATCGATTAACCGTTAACTGGACATAGAGACTGTAAAACCTGCCTTTAATTGACAAATCGACCCACTTAGAGCAGCAATTATACCAAGATTACAAAAAATATTTAATGGAAACAACAAATTTTAAGAAAAATTGGCTTATTTGTATTTCTATTTTTGCAATAACTTTTTATTTTCTTAAGGCAGCAGTTCTTAAACATTTCAGCCTGTGGTCCCAAAACTCACAACACAACAGACTAACAACCCCCTAAACACTAATATAATTACTTCATCCTAAATTGATTTATATATATAAAATGAAGAAATTGTAGTTTTTTATGACATGAAATTATTTCATTCATCATTTTAAATGTATTTTAATTATTTAATAATGCATTCTGTCATTAATCTAATATTATGTAAATATGTGCTGTAGATGAATAAATAATTGTTACATCTACTTTTCATGATATATTTTGGTGTCATGGATCACATCACAATGATTGTGAAAACCAGCTCACCATCGTCCACAGGAAATCACTGTGTTATAATTCACCTGGTCAACAGTTACCTGAGATTTCAGCTGAAACGTGATGTCACGGATTTCTCCTTTAGAGATCAGACCTTAAAGATGCGACAGAAGCGATAAAATGAGGATAGATGTGAGCTGAATGTTCATGTGATTCTTCTGGGTAAAACTCACTAACGGCGTGGTGCACTGGAGCCGACCTTCGCTGCTCTGGGCTGAACTTCATGTGGTTCTGCTGCTGCCAGAGAGATTAAGCCTTATGAGGAAAATTAAAGACAGTAGTTAAACCCTGAAATAAAGCATTGTTTGTTTCTGAGTTCCTCAATCGGTTTGGTGAAGGAGAGCCACAGAAAAACCCAGAGAGCAGAGAGATTTCCAAACACAAAGAAGAACTAAAGCAGAATTAGAATCCTGGACTTCAGTGAGTTTTAGTTTTCTGCAGGTTTCTGCAGACGGTTGCTGAAGGAAATCCTGGAAACTCAGCCTTGAGCGCTTTAACCTCCTGGACAGCATTTATTTTTAATTATTATTCTAATTATTAATTAATCAATTGTTAATCGGATAGCCGGAGATTTTTTTGAAGAAAAGTTTAAGAAATTAAACCAGGTGAAACTCAAACTTTTCCACTTGACGAGTTCTGGATAGAGAGATGTCAGAAAGTTAGCTTCATGCCAAAATGCAAGACTTCATTTAAATTCCATTCTATTCAGTTTATTTCTATAGTTCACGGCACTTTCCAGTTCACCAGATCATCCAGTCAGATTGATT